GGTAGCATATCCTGAAACTCTGAAGCCAAAGAAAGATGTGTGATATTGTGGTGCTAACGTGATGGTGTTCACCTCCATTGCTCTAGGACCAACTGAGGAAAGACCACTTTTTCCTCAAGCCAGAGATAGGGGCGTAGAGTTATGGTGTTATGTAAATATGAAGATTCACTAAAAAATCCTCAAGTCAGCATCCACCTGCTCACCCTGTACAGGAAAGGAAAGCCAGTAACCTCTGCCTGGATGGTTGAACTAGAATGCAAATTAAAGCAAAAATGTGGACTGGAGAAATGCTGCATTTCCCTGAATGAAGTGGCAAGCTAGTTGAAAACCAAGAAGCTACACAACAAGCAGTTCTCATAGTGCTCTTTGTTCAAAGTTGTCCAGATTTAATGTGCATTAGCTGTTCCAAATTTAATCTACAAATTAAATATCCTTTAACATCTATTAATAACTTTAAATAGCACTATGGAATATAAATCGCAGATTTTGGGTGAAAGTTCCTCTAAGTGGTAGTCCCCAAATCAGATAAAAATCAGTCTCCAAATCAACCTGTGTTGGTTGACCCCAGAAAAGGAAAATTAATGCAGCTAACACTTTTTTTTTTCTTTAATTGTACAGAGCAGTAATGTGGGAAGGGAGAAAATGATATTATGTGTAGAGAGAAGCACATAAAGTGTAGAAGTAAAACCTCTTGCTGATCCTTTGCCAGCCAGTAGTTCAGGATATTTTATTTTACAGCTCAGTGTGATAGTATTAAGTCTGCACAGTCTGCAGATGTAAGTGTGATTTAGTGGTCTACTGAATATGGTGAATTTCTCCACTGTACCACCTTTATAAAAAACACCTGTGGTACATAAATTTCAGCTAGACCGTTATGAATATTTCAGTACTTGCTCTCCTTCAAGACACTTCCACGTGTGTTAATACAGAGTATCGTGTACCTAGGCATAATGCTTTGCACTTGCTATGCTTTCGGGTATCTGAATAGGCATTTTTTAAACACTCAACCTCAAAACCTATCTTGCAACCTGAGCAACTGTTACACCTTCAAAGAGACAAATGGATATTCAGAAAATATAGATGATTCACTCCATGTTACGCAGTGAATTGCTACAGATGAAGTCTTAGTAGTCCTCACCGGTGGAATGCTTTCTTCCTGTTATTATAGGGTATTATTTAGGTATTGCAAAACTTCTAATGACACCATCGTCCCATACCTCAGCCTTTTTTTTTTCTTGTAAGATTGCACAGCAAGATATTCAGTTGTAAATATTTTGTATTTTGTTGTATGTATTTATTTGGATGTATACCACAGTATGGGCGCTCTCTTTTTAGTAAATAATACAGTAGCTTACTAATGGACTGAAAGATTACCCAGATTTCAAAAAACTGCATTTCACACATTTATCAACCCAAACAACTCTATTTAACAAAGCTTTAGAAGTTCTCAGAATCATGGTAGTGTATTGCAGCACTGACTGGTATTTTGTTTCTTCTTTGCTTGTAGATTTTTTTTAACCTTTACAGGCCAGTTCTACATGTAAACACATATAGGACACATTTATGGTCTGTGTTTCATTTCCCCGACTTGCCTTCATTTGCGCTCAACATGAACACATTCCTAGGGCATATCATGACTTCTGTTCTATACCAAGGGCCTTATGTCAATTGTAGCTGTCCAATACTACTGATGCCGTTTGTTTCCAGAAGTCAGTCCCCAAACTATGAGGACTGACCTACTTTTATTTAATTCTATAAAATTTAGGCTTCTTAAGCTGCTCATGTATTAGTCAAGAGCAAAAGATTGAGGCTAATTCATAGGATGAGAGATGAGGGAGTAGGAACTACACTGCAGAAATGCTTGTCTGACATGCTTGGCAGAGGAATGAAGTGGGAGTCTAAATGTGAGATGGATCCTACCTTCAGTATATCTCCTGTGAACAGGAAACTTTTTGCAGTCACTCTGTGTATCTTTACATCATAGTCAAACAGATACAAAGAGGATCATTCCGTTAAACACTGCAGAGTTGTCAATGTGTTTGAAAGTTTATTTCGTGTTAGGCATGGAAACATTTAAAATGCAATATACCAGGGTTTTTTCTGGAGGGTGTGCTAGTATGCTTGCAGATAAGCAACTTACTCCCGTAAGGTGAAATTCCTTTTTTTTTTTTTTTTTTTTTGGCCAGAACAATAAAATCGTATATACTTTTATCACAGTCCGAAAGTTTCTCTGAAAGATAAATTCTGATTTTGAACTAATACTTCTACTAGGTCTCCCTTCAAGCGTATTTTTCATATAAGGACTTGAATTCTTTCTTTTTTTTGGATGAAAATTGTCCTTGGTATTTATTCAAGTGGATGAATATACGCTTTCTCAGGATACCATGCAAAAAGTAATATACACCCATAAAACCATGACCCATCATTCACAGCTTTTACATTTCACAGCATGTTTGCAGAACACTATTATTAGGGCATTGCTATGTATTTGCAGTAATTCAGGTTGATTGGAGTTAAAAATATGCCTTTGAGTTCTTGAAGAAAGGTCTGCGCATGAAGGAAGTGTTAGGCCTGATCCTGCAAAGACTTTTATGCACTAATATTATCCATCATGTGGCACACCGAAAATTGAAGTAGCATAACAGTGTAAAGAAAATCTCTGAAGAGAATTGTGCTCTGAGAACTAGATAAACTCTTTTTGGTTCATGTATGTTTATTCCATTTCCAACTTCTATCAAATAAATGAGATATTTTGGAGATAAAATGAGAAATATATAGGTCAATACTGTATTTATCAGGTAGACGATTTTCTGATTCTTACTGTTTACTGCAAGTCTGTGCTGATATTATTTATACTGTCAGAATATTTAGGTATGTCCTATATCTCTGAAGTGTTTTTTGTTTTGTTTTTCTTTACTTTTATAAAAGAAAAATAGATATATTTTATTGCAGTCATTTAAATTTGCCTTAAATAAGGCTGCTGTACCTCCACATAGGGTAAAGCTGGAAAGAGATTCTTTTCTGAACCTAAGCGTGGTTCGCTCTCATGCTAAGAGGGTCTTAGTGACATATTCTGACACAGACTCACTCCATCCTGCCCTGGTAGAACGCTTTGGATGTAGAAAATGCCTGTAGGTGGCTACAACTGATCTCATCTGAGATGAGAATCCAGCCCCTTGGTAAGTTTTAAAGAATCAGTGGATGACTTTGGAGCTTCAAGGCAGTCATTAGCTTTCTTAGCTTAGAAAAAAAAAAGATGCCAGAATAAGCTATGTATCTAACAAAAAGATTGGGAATTGCAAATAAGTTGTGAAAGGAGGAGAATTACTACAGAAATACAGGTATTGTGAGATTTGACTCTTAGGGTGGTTTACTTCTAGTGAAATAAGTGGCTCTCCTGTCCCATGTTCTGACTGTCACACAGAATCCCAGAATGGTTGAGGTTGGAAGGGACCCCTGGAGATCGTCTAATCCCACCCCCCTGCTCCAGCAGGGAGACCCAGAGTACATGGCATAGGGTAGTGTACAGGCGGATTTGGAAGATCTCCAGGAAATGAGACTCCACAGCCTCTCTGGGCAGCCTGTTCTACAGGAAAGAAGTTCTTCCTCATGTTCAGATGGAGCTTCCTGTGCTTCAGTTTGTGCCAGTTGACTCTTGCCCTAATGTCTTCCTAAAAAAAATCTTCTGTTCTTACAGTCCCCTGTCACAAACTATGCGTATGCTTCTTGAAAAGCACGTTGTTAGTGACATGGGGCAAACCTTGTGCCAAGTCTGTTTTTTGTTTTTTGCTTAGTTCAGCTAGTGTACTAGGTTTTAGGGTGATGCCTTTGCTCCTTGAGCAGTGTTGTTTTGACGTAGAGTTTAGCACTTAAGAATTTTGTGACCTTATCCAAAAAGTTATGATAAAATACAATTTGGGAAATTATTTCTGCTAATTTCCACAAAATTAAACATTATATCTATCCCAAGGTACTCAGATAACCACAGGTTTGTAGACTAGGCATACCTGTGCATCCGGTTGCATTCATTCCATTTGAAGTCATGTAAATTATCAATTGATTTTACTGAGTATTTTCTGAGCTTAAAAATATTCAGTCATCAAGTTTATGTTAAACAAATATGCATGTAAGACATAGCTAAGTAGCCTTGACAAACTCATATAAATAAATGCTACATCATTCTTATCTGTTCAGGTTTCTAAATGGATATTTAGCTCAAGTTTAATGTGAAAAATTGATATGGACGTGCTGAACACCTACATTGCACATGAGACACAAACACAGAGAGAATACAAGTACACTTCAAGACTTTTCAGCATCAGAATTGTTAGTCCCTTCACTGTTCCTCTTTCCTCACCTATTATTTGGACTTTCAGCAAGGATAAGACAGATTCATATTAATAAATGGACTTTTATCAAATAAGGGGTAGAGATATTTCTTATAATCTGTATTACCTCAACCTATATAAAAAAAGCAAATCTTCAATCTTATTAGGTCATAAGGTGTTGAATGCAGCCTCCAGAGGTTTTCAGCTTACAAAAACTATTAATTAAATCAGCCACACTGTTCAGTGGCCAGGAACTCAGGAACTATTTTGTGGTTTCCGAAAATAAACAAGCTTTCACACAGTAATACAGTAATGTTAATTAAAAAAAAAAAAGGCAATCTTTGATTAAAACAGTAGGGAAATAATTTTGATGGTTTCATTTGTGCATGTTTCATATATGATACTTTCAAAAAAAAAAAAAGTAGTAATGATTTCCTGGATTTTTTTTAGCAGATGAACTTCCATTATTTCTTTTCACAAGAGAAGATAAAAGGGAACTTTACCTGCAAAACATACAGTACATGCTCTTTCATTATAGCAAATACCTGCAAACCCTTACCTTGATTGGTACATGAAAAATGTAGGGAGTGTCTTTGTTTTATATGTGTTTTTCATGATCAAGATTTCTTTTTCTTCTGCAAATGCTGTATTTGACTGTTTGTGCTTGCCCAGGGTCAGCGAGCGGGAAGCTGCGCTGGAAGCAGCTCTGCGGATGTTGCAGCAGTTCTACCTGGATCTGGAGAAGTTCCTTGCCTGGCTCACGGAAGCTGAAACAACTGCCAATGTCCTGCAGGACGCCACGCACAAAGAGAAGGTACTAGAGGATGCCAAAGCAGTTCGAGAACTCATGAAACAGTGGCAGGTAAGTGTGCCCGTTTAGACACCTGACAGACTTACAAAAGAAGGATTATTTTTTTTTTTTAGTATGCAGCTACTCTCCTTAACAAAACTGAAATTATTTGGAAAATGAGAACTGATTCTACTACTAAACTTTAGGTGTTGCTTTGGAAATTTTAAGGTGAGATATAGGATGATTCTGTCTGATGTCTTTCAGCATGTATAATTGAAATGTAATCTTGAAACATAATGTTAAAAACACAAAAATAAAAAGTTACTGAAATGGTCATTTAGATTTTTTCTACCTTCCAAAAATGAATAATTTTGCCAAGCCACATTACTAAATTGACACAAATAAGAGTTAAGGAAGCATTTCTGATATTTATAGGAGGTAGATAAATGGTTTCTAGTTTATTTTCTGTAGTCTAAGTTAGTTTTCCTCCATTACTTTCAAATACTTACGTTAATCTAGTATTTGACTGATTTTTGTCAGAATGCTCTGCAATACAGGCCATCTTTTTCTGTTCTCAGTATTAGATTTGGGGAGTAATGACATTAAAATACTTGAATTATCTGGTATTTGTAGAAGCTTATGCTTTTTGCTGTGATCACTGAAAAATGGCTCGTTTGGCAAAATAGATATTTGTAAAAATTTGTATCATCTAATGCTTCCTTCTTATATGTAATTAGACTTTATAGACCTGGATCTCTTTTCAACATTCTATTTTCTTTAAAAAAAACAACCTCTGTGTAAGAAACATCCACAGCCATAGACAAAAGCATAAAATAGCTTTTAAAAGTCCTCCCCCACAATGAATACAGAAGACTCTGCCGTGTAAACAGATGTTTTGAACAATTATTTTTCTTTTAAAGCTTTTTTTGAGCTTTCAGATGGAATTTGAGCCTTCAGATGGAATTTTCAGTTCTTCCTTGCAAGTTTTTGTCATTTAAATATCAAGCCTTCCAACGTACGAAGGGCAGGAGCTGTAATAGGGTGTTGATTTGTTTCATTTTCAAGAAGCAGACATTCTGCTCACTGATGTTGGCAGTACAAGAGCAGTGATTCTGCCACATTAATGGAAGAAACATTAGTATGCACAGGCAAAACAGCAGCGCTTCGGTTGTCATTTGCTCCCAAAGTGTCCATACCTACTTGTCCACCACAGTAGTTTCAGGCATTTGGTTAGAATCAGTGAGTTAAAGGATAAATAGGTTTGATACCGTTTGTGTTTTTTGTGTTTTTTTTTTTCATTTGTCCCTGTCTGCTGCTCTGCCCCTATTTAGATAGACCAGGGTTTCTTCCTAGACCATCTGTCTAGCACTGCTTGTGTCAAAATCTTTATAGTATTTTTAAGCCTCCAAAAGAAATCTCATAATTCACGAGCATAAGTGGGTTATGAAATGCCCTTCTCCTGAATGGAGTCTGATTGATGCCAGATCTGGCAGTTAGTAGAATTGTTATTTTTCTTCTTGCTCAAGGAGAGGGAAAGTTTGTTTTTTTTCCTACTGGCATGAGGAAAATTCTGTTTAAGCAAACAGAATGAGCTTTGTTTAAAAATCATAGTTGGGAAAGCCCTTTTCTAATGCATATTAAGAACTACAGTAAAGAGACCATTCAAGATATGCATCTTCTTCCATTTCATTAAATTGTCACTGACTGGAAACATAGCAATTAACTGCAATTAATTTAGAAGGATGTAGGTTTTTACTACGTGTGTTCTTTGTAATTGGAGCATTATTTTTAGTCAGGTCTCTTATTAGAATGGGGCCTTCAGTAGCAGCGAATGCTTTGGGTTCGGGCAAGTCAATGGTAATGACTTGAGCCAAGCAGATGCATTTGTTTACTCGGTAATACGATGTGCGAACATGTGTGAGGCTGCTGTGACCACAGTTTTTTCTGACAACTTGGCATTAATCTCGAGTGACAAACGCTGTTTTCCTCGCAATTCACCATGATTGGAGGAAGGCATTGTGTGGAGGAGGGAACACAAACTTCCATAAACTTCTTTTTCTCCGCCAGTACCTGCTATTTTTTTCTGATGATGAGTGAGTTTTATACAAAGCGACTAGACAACACACCAGTAAAAGTCAGCTGGAAGCAAAGCGTGGGAGTAAATTAATGGAGCCTGTGTGTGAATATAATATCGAGCCAAACGTGTCCACGGTCCTGCTCTCACACCGAGACCAGCTGTCGCCGGAAATCCGCATCCGTTTGATTAAGCTCCCTTGCTAGAATTACTGCATCCAAACTGCCTTTGGGGAATGATCTTTCCTAAAAAGGAGCCTGGTGTTAGTCTGGAAGAGGGCTCATTGGTTTGCCTGGCCACAGTCAGCCACCCCTACACTATATCAGAATAGACATCCAAATTCCAGGGCCTGGATGTGTTCCCGGGTTATTTAATTTACTGTGTATAGTGACTGGAAGCAAAACAACAAGCTTTTGCATTATTTTTCTTCCTAATAACTGTTCACCAAGCAAGATATGCTCTGATTCTTTCCATATGAAACTTTTCATTAAAAATAATAATAATAAAAGAATTGAATGACATGACGAAATGATTGAAAAGCAAATTTGTGTAAGAGGGTACTCTGCTAAGAAACTGAGGAAAATGGATTTGATTTGTTAAATAAGATGCAAAAAATATTTACATCACTTAAAGCACAGTGCTTTCTATCACGGGTCTCCATTTTAAAAGCTCTTCTGTCACAAAGAGATATATTTCCCTGGTATTGGTGCAAATATTACCAATTTGTATTGCCACAAAACTGGATAATGGAGGAAATTTTAAGGACTTCTTAAAATTTTGTCAATAAAACAATTCTATTCATGTCAGCTGACTGATTAGAAAAGAGAGTGTGGCTTTTCATTTATCCCTTAGTTATTGCTGCATTGATTCTTCCAGTCTTTATTCTCTTTTTGTTAGAGTTCACATTCACACTTGACTTTAATGCGTTAATAGGGGAAGAAGAAAGGAAAAAAAAGGAAGTAGGATAATTCAGAAGACAAAAAAAAAGGTCTGTTTTTGCACAGTTTGTACATACAAAAGAGATTCAGATTCCCTGAAACCTCAGGAATATGCCTGTCTCTACCCAGTCTGGGCAAAGGGACTATCGCTCACTAATCCATGCACCAGCACTCCGTGACCACCAGTAAACATTTCTTATTCTGTGCTGCAGACCAGAAATGCAAACACACCAGGCACCAACTTGTATTCCAAGAAACGTGCTGTGCAAATTGTATGTGTATTCAGACACATTCCAATGCCATCAATATCTATAATATATTTTTAATATCCTGACTATGTAATGTGATCACACGTACTCACAATCTTTTGGTGGGCTTTGCAGCCACATGCCGCTCCAAATGCTTCATAGGCCCTGGCCCATGCGGTGTATGGGATGATTCAGCCACACGTCAGCCCCTCTGGGTTCTCTTGCCATCCTTGGATGCCACCCTGTGCCACGTGCTCCGGGTGTCCCTGCTGGGGCAGTGGGGCTGGACTGGATGATCTGCAGAGGTCCCTTCCAACCTCAACCATTCTGTGATTCTGTGAATCAGGGACTAGGGTATTTATACAGAGAAGCCAAGTTTCAGAAAAAACTATGCTGTTTTTTATTAGACATTCCTATGGAAGATGAGAACTTTAATTTTGAAGAATTGTATTCTCATGCAGGAGGAAAACTACTTGCACCAGCAGACTAATTCATAGGCAGCTTTGAACAGCAAATACATCGTTTGCCAACAGCATCCAAGAAGGTGACAATCTCAGGTGTTTATGAGAAGATGTTAAAAGGGCCGGGAAATGACCAACTTTCGGATATTTCTATTTCTTTATTTAGAAGATAATTAATATGTAAAGCTGAGAGCTTTACATATGAGACCTTCCTAGCGAGTGCCATGCTCAAGTCCTGCCCCAGTATCAGAAAGATTCTCAATGCGTTTTACCAGAATTAATATTTTCAGGTTATTTTTTTTGTCTTCTACTTTAAATCTTTTTTTTCCCTCTCTCCTCAGCCAGACTGAAGTAAATAAGACCTTAGCAAGACGATAGTAAGGAAAACAGAATGTTAGTTTCTGAGTACAGATCATTGTCTCATAAGTCCTTTGAAAGAAACTTTGGCTGTTTAGGTTAGGTTCCCAGAAGTTATGATTAAATATGACACATAAGCTTGGATCTGCAGTCTCTGTCTTGTTCTTCGTGTGGATGCACAGACCTGGATAATGGCAAAACAGCTTTTCGAATGCTGGAGTGCTGAAGTGCCCCTGTTTCAATTCTCTGTTTTTAGGCAGTCAATAGAAAACAGTGTTCTGATAAGGGATATCGTTCTACTAATATCAGAAATCTAAATCTCTAAGTTCAATAGTAGCTTTTTCTCTGTACCATTAAAATGTTTCTCTCTACCGTATTGATTCAGCAGTTTTCTGCTTTACTCTCTCAAACTCTCAGTATCTTTTTAAACAACTAGAAAAACAATCTCTTGTTGTGCACACAGTGTGTAATAAACAGAAGTAGTTTGGGTAAATCTCACATTTTTCAGTGTTTATTTTGCTTTTCATGTTCAGAAACCATTAGATCAAATGTCAGTAAAAGAAAATAAGATTAATGTTTCCCTAGTACTTAGCAGAGGCAGAAGGAGAAGGGTGAAACTGACATAATTGCACATTCTAATTACCTGATGATGTAATTATATTAAGCTGTTGCTTTATAAATACACTGTTTGTTTATATAAGCATGTATTTGTGTGCATCATTTGTCTGACCTGACAGCAGTGTAATAGCTGAGGTGATTCACTCGTTCAGAATACTTTCTGGAGAATTTTCCACCATACAAACCAGTTACTCCAAGGAGTTGTGTAATTATGTGTTGCTTTTTATTGTCTAATCTAAATGCATCTTGTGTCCCCATGAGGTCTGGCTTGATACAGAACTGTATGAGGGAGATGAAGATAATGAATTTTACTTTCTGCTTTCAAACTTATGGTGATATGAACTCTCAACTGTGTTAATTACGCTCTTGGTTTGTC